CCAGTATCCCCTAGTCTCCCAGTGTCCCCTAGTCTCCCAGTGTCTGTGTCCCTAGTGTCTTAGTGTCCCCAAATGTTTCAGTGTCTCCATGTCTCCCAGTGTCTGTGTTCTTAGTGTCTCAGTGTGCCTGGTGTCCCCATGTCTCCCAGTGTCCCTATATGTCCCAGTGTCCCCTAGTTTCCCAGTGTCTGTGTCCCTAGTGTCTTAGTGTCCCCAAATGTTTCAGTGTCCCCATGTCTCCCAGTGTCTGTGTCCCTAGTGTCTCAGTGTCCCCATTTCTCCCAGTTTCCCTAAATGTCTCAGTGTCCCCATATCTCCCAGTGTCCCCATGTCTCTGTGTCCCCGGGTCTCTCAGTGTCCCCATGCCTCTCAGTGTCCCCAGTATCCTAGTGACATGGGGACACACTGAGACATTGGGACACTGGGAGAAATGGGGACACAGACACTGGGAGACTAGGGGACTGGGCGAGATGGGGACACTGACACTGTGATACATAGGGACACTGAGACACTGGGTGACTTGCGAGACTGAGACACTGGGAGACAGTGAGACACTGGGAGCAATCCATCTATACAGCAGAATCAAACTGTGAGTAGTTTGTTGGTGATTTTACAGAATTTTCTCTGATGTCACTCCTTGTGATTTACACGCATAACTAATTAATTATACAAATGATTAAGGCTGGTATTTTTTTCCAAGAAAGGTGGCAACCTTAACTACTCTTCACATACTCTTGCTTAAAGGCGCACTATAGTGTCAGGAACGCAATCATGTATTTCTTACCCTATTATGTTAAAACCACCACCCTGGCCCCTTCTTGCCTCCCTAAATATAGTAAAATATTACTTGTATTCAATTCTGCATCTGCTGGCTCAGAAGTGGAGGTCTGAGCAAATTACAATACTTCCCCATAGGATTGGCTAAGACTGTCAACTAGGCAGATCAGGGGCAGAGCCAGCAAAAGTCCAACATAGCCCTGGCCAATCAGCATCTCCTCATAAAGATAAATTGAATCAATGCATCTCTATGAGGAAAGTTCAGTGTCTGCATGCAGAGGGTGGATACACTGAAAGGCAGTGCTGCACACTAGGCAGTACTGCCCCAGGAAGCACCTCTAGCAGCCATCTAAGGAGTGGCCAGTGGAGTTATTTTCTCTGAAAAGACAGTGTTTACTGCAAAAAGCCTGAATGGAATGATTCTACTTACCAGAACAAATACAATAAGCTGTAGTTGTTCTGGTGACTATAGTGTCCCTTTAAGTTTGGAAGCTTAAGAGGGATGTATGGGAACAAAACTTGTGTGCACTGGCTGACATTAAAGTTAGTTTAGGTAATGCAGACGTTGGTCTCTCTAACACTGTGGCATGTCCCCTTTCTTCTACACTCACTACAGACACATTTTCTCTGTCTCAGACTATACCAGGAACTTCTGCCTGCTAGTAAGAAGGTAAGGAGACAAGTGGACCAGCAAGTTCTAGGGGACAGTCCTTAGAAAGAATGGAGTGAGCGCATCATTAGACGCATTTATGTCAAGCTTAAGGTGCTGCCTGCATTGTATGCCCTTAGTTGGACAGCCTGCAAGATTGGCAGGCAGCCTGACATGCATTCATGCCAGGCTGACCTTCCAATTCTTTGGACAAACATGCCCCCTTTTTGGGTATGTTCACCCCTTTTGGCAGGTCTTGTCACGTGATTCGCGCCAGTGGCACACCCTTTTACCCCACCCATTGACTTCCTGCTTCACTGGACACTGCTGTTAGGGGTTATGGATTTACTTGAAAGATGAATGCATAAATTAAAGAGAAATTAGCATAGAGTATGTGTTTTCTTATAGCTGCATCCTATGAGTTTCCCTCCAGCACCATCTCCATCAGATACATGATGCTTGGGAGGTATGATTGTTTTAGTGTTTTTGGTCGATAAGATTCCGTAATTAGGCCCATCATAATTGTCAGCACCAGGCCCACTGTGCTCTTAATCCGGCCCTGCATACAGTATACCTGTGCAATAAAGATATTACAATAACCCGTACGTGATAGAGAAATAAAGTTAATTTTGGAGCTGGGCTTTAAGCTGTTTCAGGCACATTTGTTTATTTTTTATATTTTTTTTATATTGAAAATGTTAACCGCCTGATCACAAGTTAATATAACAGGGTGATCACACTGGCGTTATGGAGTGTTAAAGCTTAGTTACAGCCCGGGGGTCAATATCCACAGATACACTCTATGCACCTACTGGAATCTGATATTGGCTCAGCTTTAACCCTGCAGCGGTAGCTGTCTGGCACATGTTAAATGGAGTGTGAGCTATAGACAAACTCCATGAATCAAGGACATTTCAGGTGAATATTTATGTATTTTAATGGTGTAAAAAGCTGAATTCAAATTCTGTGTTGAAGTACAGTATATACCTAGGCTCACCTTATCAATTGCTAAAGTGTTATCTCTACAGCAATTAGAGAGGACATTGCATGGTTATAAAAATCCATTGCGTGCTGTGGAAGATGTTGGCACTTTATAAATGCCAGTAATACACAAATAAAATAAATAAAAATACAAATTGGTTTTACCTGTTCCAGGCAAGATTCTCCCATTGCTACATACAAAGCACCCAAATAAACAAAGCACAGATGTCCAGAGAAGCCACATGTTGCTGGTTGGTGACCTCGATGACCCTAGGTGTTCTGTGGAGGAGATAGAGAATGTGCAGTTAGACATTAGCCAGGTGCAATAGACTTCTTCAAACGGTATACCTAAGAGACTGGATCTACTAGATCACAGCAATGGAAATTAAACTGTTATTGAATGAAGTAGTCTGGTCCTGTCATGTCAATCTACATGAGCCTCCGTCACAGACTGGGCACATGAGTTGCAGTCACAGTCTGCAGTGGCCATATTATTCAAATCAGACTGGAATACGATAAGGTAGTAACATTGTGGTATGTGTTATGAACATGTAATACGAAAATCTAACATAATGACTATTCAAGCGACCATCAGACTTAATTTACTAAAGTTAGAATTATTGGGAATTTAAAGTGAATTTCAATTTTAAGGAAAAAGTTACTGAAATGGAAAAGATCTTCCAGTTTGGCTATCCTAGCCTTAAAGTTAAAATTCACGTTGAATTACCAACAATTCTCACTTTAGTAAATCAGCCTGCATTTAAAGTAACAGGGAAATGTGGTGTACATGCTGTTGGATGATTCAGCCAGCCCTGTACATCGGATCTGCTTTACAGCTCCAGCCAGTTTAACCTGCATAATTCATTCACTCTTTGCATTGTACATTGCTGTGCAATATGTTAGTGCTTCTCCAACAAAATTAAATGGCAAATGTTTCCTACAAAATGCCATTGTATTTTGTAAATACCAAGACACTAACCGTTAGACGTTTTTCCTGCCACGGATTGAGAAACTGATTTGTACATGACATAACACAGGATTGTGCAACACAAGAACGGAAAGAGCATTTATCCACTAAAGAATGAGTGGTAGTGATCTGTGATGAATTAAGAACCATTAACCCATTGTACAGCGCTACAGAATTTGCTGGCACTATATAAATAATAAAATAATAAAAACAATATTTATGAAACCCACATAAGATTATTATTATTTTTTTTTAATTCTTTATTTTTGTGTGCACAATATTAATATCGTTGCAAACGTAGCCACAACAGCTATCGTTCACAGATATAATAAACATTTTAAACAATCGTGGCTTTTGGTAGTCTTGCACATTTTATAATACATTTTACTCTATAGAAAAACCTTTGTTGTAGTATCAGTTGTGCCCTGTAAGGGAGTGAGGGGAGTGTAGCTCTGCGGTCTATGTGTCTGCCCTTGAGGGCTTCACCCCTTGCAGTTATTCTGTGTGGTTGCTTTCAGCATGATCCTCCGTGTATTGGCAAGGGGGGGGGGCGCGGTGTCCGGGTATCGTGCAGTAATGTGGCTTTGTGGTACCTTTTATGTGGTATGCGTCTGCCTCCTAATGTGGGCATGTCTACAGCGTTTGGTGTGTGTGTGCTTTCTGGTTTAGTCAGCCGTGTCTCCTACAGTGGCTATCTTGCGAGTGAGGAGCAAGTAGGTAATGCTAACTACAAGAATGCTAACTACACTGATAGGATCGGAATAAGAAAAGATGCTGCATTATTTTGTGTGCGAGCCCAAAGAGGGTTAGTGTGTCTGATTAGAGTGAGTCTTTGACTTTGTGGAATGTTCCGTCTGCGTAGTTGGTGGAATGGGATGGAGAGGAGAGTCCCTTTGTATTGGCTGGTTTCTTCCTCCTCAGGTGGGCGATCCGCCCGGAGAGGCTCTGGAGGAGTTCCGTGGGGTGAATTCTCGGATGTTAGCCAGGTTCAGCTGGGAAAGGCCCTGTCTGGTTGCCGGTGCCGCTGGCAAGATGCCTGTTGATTGCAGGTGTGTTTCGAGCTCCTGTTTATCTTGCGCCTTGTATAAAGTCTTGTTGTGGGTGAACAGTATGGCTCGAGGAGTGCCCCATCTGTATGGGATTTCTCTGGACCGGAGATGGTGCAGAAGGGGTTGCAGTGTTTTTCGCCAGGCTATCGTGTTCCTGGTCAGGTCCGGGAACACTGTTAACGATGCCCCCTCGAACAGTAGGGTTTTTTTTCCCCAGTCAGAAACGAGGTCTTGTCGGCTAGTGTTTGAAACCTCAGTATGAGGTCTGCTGTCGCCGCTGTTGGTGCTCGGGGTGATTTTGGCAACCGGAACATGCCATCTAGTTTCATGGTTTTTACTCGTTTCGGTGGGAGCAGGACTTCAAGAAGGCGCCTGATGTAGTGGGGTAAGTCTGCAAGAGCTACCGACTCAGGTATCCCCCTTATTTTGAGATTATAGTGTCTTCTCTGGTCCTCCATGGCATCCAGCCTGTCGTTGGTTGTGGTTTGCCAGTGGACCACGTCTGTAATTTTCTGTTCTACCTTGTGGAGCCTAGCGTCGTGGGTGCATGAGCAGGCCTCCAGCTGTGTGATTTTCGTTGTGGCCCCTTCTATGGCTTTCCTATAGTAGGCCATGTCTGCCGTCAAATCTTTGCGGAGTTCCGCCAGCATTACCGTGAGCTGGTAATTTCTGCTGTCCGATGGGTGCCCGTAGGATGCTCCCTCCAGGACGTCTGTGGTGAAGTCCTCCGAGGAATACGAGGAGATGTCATCGGTAGGCGCCATTTTGGACCTTGCGGCCTGTTGTGTGGTCCGGAGCATTTCTCCAATGTCCCTCCCGTGGGGGCTTTTTTTGGCTTTTGCTTTTTTAGATTTTCTGCCCATGTTCTTTCTGCTCGTGCCTGGGTTGTTTGTAGGATATTTTGGGCCCGGTTTCCACCATATATCTCTATGCTTTTAAAAGTCAGAGACAGAGCTCCGAGAAATGCGTCCTCTCTGCTGCTCTGTTAGCTCCGCCCCCACATAAGATTATTTTTAAGATTCTGCAGTTTTGCCCTCTAGTGTGGCAAGTTACAACTCACTGAAAAGTGAGATTAGCATGTTTGAAAGATAGCAATTATGATTCTATATTACAGGGTTACACAAACAGGGTTCTCCTTTCCTGAATCTCTAAAGCTGGGATTTCAAACTCTAGTGCTCCATATTGTAATATTTATATGCGCTTACAACTCCCGGAATTCTTGAACGCAATAGCTTGTAAGAGAATCATGGGAGAGGTAGTTCTGCAACATCTGGGGGCCAGAGTTTTAGATGCCTGGCCTAAGTCATCAGGTACACTCCCCTTGTGACTAGACTCTAAGGAAATCCTTAGAGAGAGTGCTTTTCACTAGCTCCAGAAATGTTTTGACTGAACTGCAATTTTGGAATTTGTTTAAAAAATTTTTTGTCTCTTAGTAAATGAATACAAACGATATTGGTCCTCCCAGGATTGACCTTCAGTTTGCTATTCTGAAATTATGGAATACCCTTTAAAGGGAAGGAATAAGTACTATGTTTTATATCTCAGTAACTCATGCTCATTTTAGGGAGTGGCCCAATTTTACGTTACGTTTTAGTAACTATAAAATAATAATATAATATACTGCTTACTGAAATGGGATTACAATATATAGGGTTTCACTTTGCAGAACTGAAAGAGCTCAGAGAAATACTGCTTTACTAAAACAGTGTTTAGAGGTCTGTGGCAAAGTCTTCCAAGAGCAATTGATGCAATTAGAGACCAATACTATTAAAGGGACACTCCACTGTCCGAATACAAAATAATAAATATCACTGTTTAGTAGATATAACTCGAATGGAAATACACATGCATTTAATTATGCTTTTTTAATTGGGAGTATATCTAAATACAGTCCTTCCTTTTCTTTTCCCCAGCCCAAACTTTCTGTGGCTGTCCAATCACAGGATTCCCAATTTTGTAAAATGAAAAAAAGGACACATTCTTCACACCTAACGCATTTCAGTGAATTAGGGGTCCGGAGTGTCCTTTTAAGGATTTGTAACACGTAACTTCTTTATAAAAGAAGATAAATACTGGATAAACTGATAGGGCTATTAATTAAAGTGAAATTCAAATGAAATTTAAGAATTTTAATTCAAAATGAATTTCAAATTTTAGGCCAAGATAGTGTAACTGAAAGCATAGCTGACTTGTCCTTTCTGTTCTGGCTATAGTTTACCTGTAACTTGAAATTTTATTTGCAGTCATATGACACTTTAGTGAAAAACCATGTATAAGACGATTTTGATGTTTCCTATTTTCAATAAACGCTGTCCTAGCTGGTTATTGGGTTTGATCTACAGCAGCCCTGAATCAGAGCAATTCTGTTTCACGTTCAAGCACTTAAAGGACCACTCTAGGCACCCAGACCACTTCAGCTTAATTATGAATGCTTTCCTATGTGACCGGCTGAATGCGCGCGCAGCTCTTGCCGCGCATGCGCATTCAGCCGACGGGGAGGAGAAGAGGAGGATCGGAGGAGGAGAGCTCTCTGCCCAGCACTGGAAAAAGGTAAGGTTTAACCCCTTTCCCCCTTCCAGAGCCGGGCGGGAGGGGGTCCCGGAGGGTGGGGGCACCCTCAGGGCACTATAGTGCCAGGAAAACGAGTATGTTTTCCTGGCACTATAGTGGTCCTTTAAATTCTTAGGTACATTTACTGCACACAAATAAAGCAAAACTTTTTATGCTATAGCAGGAGTCTGAGTAAGCTGTCCATAGAGGTCAATCGGGCTGACTTGTATGTCATTAGGTGTCTTGATTCTTTCAGTCATATTAGGGGTAGGCAGGTATACACATGTTGAGCTCCCCAGCTGCACATCTTTACCTAAATATATACCCTAGCCTAGGGCTTATGACCCCTCTGTGTATAACCTAGATAAACCAGAGTTTTACACGTTTTAAAAGCATTTCAGCAGCAGTACCATAATAGTGTCACATCCAGACTGGTAGTCGTAGATACTTTTAACTAACAAACATATCTATTATTGTGCAAGTTTACTATCAGCTCTGCTTTTCTCTGCTATATGAAGTGTAACGGCCTATAACGTTTTCCTAAAATTCCTCTTTAACGAGTATGTGGGGTTGTTAAAAAAGATGAGATCATTATTTTTTGTTTCACAGATCCTTTCTTTACATTTTAGGTCTACAAGCAAACTGCAGCTACATATGTACACACAGTTAAGATTTGTGCCAAAAATCTGTCTAAATTAAAATATTTCCACAAAAAAATAAAAATCTTAGTTGCTTAAAATACAGATGGGAAATTTAGTACACATTGGTGCAAAGGACATCCTGCAGTTAGTATTCTCCTATTTCATAAGACTTTTAATTTTATGCTTCGTTCCTGATACACATGGTTACCCATGGTCATTTTATTTTGTGCATGTGACCTAGACACAAATCTGCATCACATCAAATTATACAATGTGCTCATTTGCGGGCCACTAAGTTTCAAACATAAATAATTCCATTTGTTTTGTGCAACTATCTGTTAGCAATCATCTGATAATTATACTATTGGGTTTTTATTTAAGGTTGTTTCTGCCAAACTATTCTTTGTTTAAAGAAGGATAATTTTGTTTAATTTTATGCACGTTAATTTTAGTTGCTATCGAGTCTGAACAAAAAAATTAATTAAAGAATAATGCAGAGTTTAAAACGTACCGATTTTCACAGTGTCAACAATGCCATAGGTACACAATGGGCTAAAGGTATACTTGTCTGTCCCCCCCCCCCCACCCCTGTTGTATATACAGTGTTCCAGCAAACTGCTGGAATGTTCAGGTTTCCTAAATTTCATTGAGTTGGCAGCTGCAAGTCTAATTCTTTTAACAGAGGCTGTTTCCTTAGTACGATGGCCAAAATGAGCACACCAGAGGGCTACTTTAGAAGGCAGGCGGCTTCTTAAGAGTATTCATTTCTGAATGTGTATCAATATTTTTCTGCTTCTATAGTAAAATATTTTAATGTATTGTAACAAAGTTAACGCATGTAACAAAGGTACATTCACAGTCTGGGTGGATCCGTTTGGTTCTGGTACCGAGTGTGCCTAAGGAAACATTTAGCACTCCATGATGTTGATCCCTAGTTAACATATAAACCAGGGCAGAGTAGGCATTATTGTGATTTATGAAATAATTGAATGCACATGGTATGCTGTTTAACCCCTTAAGGTCACATGATATGTGTGACATGTCATGATTCCCTTTAATTACAGAAGTTTGGTCCTTAAGGGGTTAAATGTACATGCATATAAAAGTAAGCATATAAAGTAAGCATTATGAAAAGGCAGCCCAATATAAAAAAATGGCCAGATTTGACAAGGACTTCTTTCTTACACACAGGTTAATTGCACAGACAGGAATAGATAACTAATAGCTAGGTAGCCTTTACCCCAATGCTCGCTTGTCTCTTTTAGTGATAGGATAGAAGTTGTAGACAAACTTGCTACATAAAGATGCTACTTTGCAATCACTCACCTTTCTGCAGAGCTGAATCTCCTCAGAGACACTGTATTGAATCCATGATAATAGGGGGGGAAAAAACTTAAAGCACAGTGATTTTTCTCTCACTGAGCTGAAACCAAACTCAGAGACTCAGTCTTCCCTACCCTCCTGTCTCCTCCTCCTTTCTCAAATTTATTTTTCCTCCCCTCTTTTCCAAACTCTTAGCCTTCCCCTCTCATCTTACTATCTCTGCTCCTCTGACTTTTATTGACCTCTCTCTTTTTCCAGTCAGTTTCCCAGTCATCAGTTCGCCCCTTCTAATCTTACTCATTATGAGTCCTTTCTGTCTCTCTGGAGAACATATAAATCCATTTCTCCCAGTTTTCCATTTCACTGTTTATGACTGGAAAATGAAATACATTCAGAAGTAGATGTTCTCAACCAATGTAAGTACAATATAACGGGCCAAACTTGTCTGTCACTGACGGTTGGATTATAAATCCTAAATACTAATTTAAATAAAGATAAATAGTAATTACATTGGAAATATATATTTTAAAATATTCTCGAATTTTTAAATATATCAAGGATTTTAATGTCAATGCCCAACTTAAAGGGTTACTCAAATCAAAAATAGTTTTAATAAAACATTGTTTTTGGTCATAATAATCCTTACTATACTGGTCCCCCACCTCAAAGAAAAATAAAAATTAAACAAAAGCTTACCTTTGTTTCAGAACTAAGGCTAGGTTTTCTGGGCAGCTTGATCCTCTTCCTGTGATGTTTCTCCCCCCACTTTGGGGAGTATGGGCAGCATCTCAGCATCAGTTCGGAGTTGTTATCCCAGATTTCATACTGCTGCGTCACTTTCACCTCAATTCCTGAGTAATTGCTCCAATTTTTATGCAGCTGCGTCAATTCCACTTAGTAAGCGGCGCCATTACGCCATAGAAAATGCAGACAAGTCTTATCATGTGAAACAAGTGTGTTGTTTTGAGTGCAGTGATAGTATTACTAGGTCATGGGCTTCAAACAAATGTACATGACGCGGGCCATGACCTTCACGCCTTTATATATATATTTTTCTATTTCTAGCGTCTTGTTTCTAATGTACATGTGTCAACGACTCACAATTGATGCAAAACCCTGGGCCTAAATACACTCACTCTGTTGTAGGCTCAAAACCCTTTGGTGGTTCCAGACCTCCTAAGCTCGCTGTTTTGTGTATTTTGGTTTCCCTTGGCTTTTTGATCTGGCTTTGTTATTTACCCTGCCTTGTCTTCTCGTATCCCTGACCAGGTCAGTCTTGATACTGTTATTGCCTTGTTCTCCAGGTCTAGTTTGCTCTGGTAATTCTCTGGCCTTGCTATAGTATTTAATACTGCTGTTTCCAGTTTCTATGCTAAGCATTAAGTCTGTTAATGTCTGGTAATACACCTTTTGAAACCCTTCAACCAGGCCCGGACTGGCCATTGGGCGAACCAGTTAAATGTCCGGTGGGCTGCGATGGCCATGAGCCGAGGTCGGCAGGAGAGATCAAGGGATCTCCCCTGCCAGCCCATGCAGGGCAGCAGTGACCCTAATAGGGAGTTCCGGCCCCTCACGGGCTGGTGGAGGGGAGATTGGATAGTGAACGCCACGCTCCATGTATGCTGGAAAACCAGCCTGTCTTCTCGCGAGCGCCGATATTAGCATAGCGTTGCCATAGTAAGCCATGGAAACGCTCTGAAAAAACCCCCACCAGAGACAGAGTAACCCTGCAGGGTACAGACTAAATAACCTGCCGGCTGGACTGGATTATCTTGTGGCGTACCCCCTCTCACTGGACCACCAGGGGTCTGCATGTTCCCTCTCCCCCTGCAAGGTAATAAGGGGAAGTAAATGTGATTTTTTTTTTATTGTTTTTTTTAAATTACATTCATTATTTAAGCCCCTATCCTCACACTATATATACACACCCTTACATATATATAAGGGCTGACTTAACCACCCACCTGCTTCGATACCTTTTGGTTGCAGGGAGGCGACTTCCTAGGACTGCAGCCGCTGATGGGAGTCTGAAACTAGCTGCCTGCTGTGTACCCCCCTCTGTGTCCTCTCAGCCCACGCGGTTTGTAAGCTGTGAGGAATTAAGATAGTGACTTCCTTCCAGCACTCTGTAAACATTAAAGGGACCTGGTCATGCAGACAAAGGGCTGCAGCACCTGGCTGAGGGGGGTGGAAACTGCTTGGTTTCCTCCTGGCATCACCGATACTGCAGGGGCATGGTCAGGTTCTTAAAGGACCTCTGTACCCGACCAGGCACTTGTTTATCAATAATACCTATCGGGTGTCCCTTAACCCCCTAAGGACGGAGCCAAATGTACACGAGTGACAGGCAACAGAGGGTTGTAGTTAATGGAATATATTCGAAGCTTGGACTTGTCACCAGTGGGGTACCTCAGGGATCTGTACTTGGACCCATTCTCTTTAATATTTTTATTAGTGATATTGCAGAAGGTCTTGATGGTAAGGTATGTCTTTTTGCTGATGATACTAAGATATGTAACAGGGTTGATGTTCCAGGAGGGATAAGCCAAATGGCAAATGATTTAGGTAAACTAGAAAAATGGTCAGAATTGTGGCAACTGACATTTAATGTGGATAAGTGCAAGATAATGCATCTTGGACGTAAAAACCCAAGGGCAGAGTACAGAATATTTGATAGAGTCCTAACCTCAACATATGAGGAAAGGGATTTAGGGGTGATTATTTCTGATGACTTAAAGGTAGGCAGACAGTGTAATAGAGCAGCAGGAAATGCTAGCAGAATGCTTGGTTGTATAGGGAGAGGTATTAGCAGTAGAAAGAGGGAAGTGCTCATGCCATTGTACAGAACACTGGTGAGACCTCACTTGGAGTATTGTACACAGTACTGGAGACCGTATCTTCAGAAGGATATTGATACCTTAGAGAGGGTTCAGAGAAGGGCTACTAAACTGGTTCATGGATTGCGGGATAAAACTTACCAGGAAAGGTTAAAGGATCTTAGCATGTATAGCTTGGAGGAAAGACGAGACAGGGGGGATATGATAGAAACATTTAAATATATAAAGGGAATCAACACAGTAAAGGAGGAGACTATATTTAAAAGAAGAAAAACTACCACAACAAGAGGACATAGTCTTAAATTAGAGGGACAAAGGTTTAAAAATAATATCAGGAAGTATTACTTTACTGAGAGGGTAGTGGATGCATGGAATAGCCTTCCAGCTGAAGTGGTAGAGTTTAACACAGTAAAGGAGTTTAAGCATGCGTGGGATAGGCATAAGGCTATCCTAACTATAAGATAAGACTAGGGAGTAATGAAAATATTTAGAAAATTGGGCAGACTAGATGGGCCGAATGGTTCTTATCTGCCGTCACATTCTTTTTAATTTTTTTTATTTAATGTTTTATTGGCAGTTAGGTCAATAATACAACAGTGTCTGCATTGCCACAGCAGCTACATCAGGCTCGGAGCGGGGTACAGATATCCATACATTGGTGTGATACATTGGAGCCATTTTGATACGTGAAACATGGAGGTTCCATAACAATACATTCACTGTGATATGCCGGCTACGTGTATTACATATCGTCTCATCTGTCTTGTGTTCACCATTAAGATAGGATCATAATAAAACTACAGTCGAACATAATATCAACGGGTTGAAATGAGCTGAACTATTAGTCTTGAGGTCGGTGGCCTTTGATGGTCGTGGGTGAGCTGGAGGGGGCCTTCTCGATAGTATTTTGTGTGAGAGTCATTGGGACCGGTCGCTCCTTTTTTTCCCCTTACTCGCTTCATATGAGAGAGCGTTAGTGATGATAGTGTGGCTGATGGGTGTGTTGCTATGTCGGGTGGTGTAGGTTTCAGCTGGGAGAAGAGTGGGGTTATGTTGGTGTGGGTGAGAGGATTGGGTCGGCTGGATTCGGGGGGAGGAGGGGGTGTGTATGGTCCCTTGGGTCGGTGTCTGCATTGCAGGAGCGTTAGGGTGTAGGGGGACTGACTTGTGTGTTCCTCTTTCAGTAGGGCATACCTGATCTATTTGTCTTTTATAAATCTGACCCATGGGTCCCATACGTTCTGAAAGAGTGATTGTTTGTGGGCGATGGAGGCGTGGATTTCCTCCATGGTTCTGATTGTCTCTACTTTAGCGATCCATTCCCTGATTGATGGGGCGTTGGGGTTTTTCCATTTGACAGGAATGAGTAAATTGGCTGCGGTTATAAGGTGGGTGAGGAGGATACGGTGCGGTTTGGGCAAGGGGCTTGGTAGGATCATGAATAGTAATGTCTGTGGGGTAGTTGGCACTTGAATTCCCGTTATTGTTTTGAGCATTTTTACTATATTGTTCCAGTATTTCTGGAGTATTGGGCAAGTCCACCAGGTATGAGCTAGGGAGGCTCCCCTTTGGGTGCATTTCCAGCATATGTCTTGTGTGTTTGGAAATAGGCTATGGATTTTGGATGGTGAGTAATGCCATCTGGCAATTCTCTTGTAATTACCCTCCTGGATCGCGGTACATATTGAGGTGGCATGTATTTGACGGAAAATAGTGTTCCATTGGGGGTTTGTAATTTGGGTGTCAAGGTCTTTGGCCCATGAGTCCGTGAAGGGTGGTAGCGTATTGGCGGATTCTGAGCCGAGGAGTTTATAGAATGTCGATAGCAGTTTGGTTTTGACATTGTTTGATTTACAGTGTATTTCGAAGTTTGCGAGCGCGCGTGCACCTCTGTATAGGGTAGGGTTGTCCCTTATGAAGTGGGTCACCTGGGCATAGAGAAAGGTCTGCATTGGCATATGGGTGTCTTGTCTTGTCAGGTTGGAGAGGGGGCAGATGTGGTGACCTTCCAAGAGGGTGCCCAGCTGGAGGTATGTCTCGTCTGATGTGTTTTGGAGGGTGAGGTATGGCTTGGCTGTCATGCCTGGGGTGAAGAGTGGGTTGTGGGTAATGGAGTATAGGGGAGATGGGTGGGGGGACAGATTGGTCGACTTGCGAATGCGCGACCAGGTCAGGAGCGTGGGTCGGATCGTAGGGTGTTTAGTGTGGCTGAGGAGGAGTGTTGATAGGGTTGATTGTTGCCACGGGATTGTGTGTATGGGGGAGTTGAATATGGAGCTTTCTAGCTTTATCCACTGTCATGTCGGGGGGTG